AAGCGTAGTACGTCGGCATTAATTTTTTCAACCCAAAAATTTGCTGTGTCCTAAGAATATGAGTAAACACACTTGAGATCACCAGCATAAGTAAAAGTTTGCGAATTTCCGAGTTCAGACGAAATATCATTGATGTACAGAAGGAAGAGTTGCGGACCCAGAACCGTGCCTTGAAGTACGCTATACGTGATCGAGTGAGGTGTCGAGTAGCTATTACTGACCATGACTTTCTGTTATCGGTTGGACAGATAAGACCTGATGAAGCCGAGTAGAGGCGGCCGGATGCGGAGAGCTTCCAATTTCACTAAAAGACGTCTATGGGACACCTCCTCAAAGGTTTTGCTAAGATAAAAGTAGAAAACTACCACTGACGGCTGTTCATTATGAAGAGAAGTGATTAGATTAAAAAATGTCCACTGGCATGTTTCGCAGGATCGTTCAGGTGAAAATCCATGCTGACTAAAGCTCAGAAGCCGATTAGCTAGACAGAAGTCAAGAATTTCATTGAAAATAATCCGTTTAGGAAGTTATACTAGAGACGGCGTTTTATGCACGCCCCGATAGTTATTAACATCGAACCAAGATCCAGACTTGAAGACAGGAAGAATAATTGGCATTTTCCAAGTTTAAGGAAAGAATCCTTTTAAAATGTAAACCGAGAATATATGACAAAGCTACATGGGAGGGTCGGATGCTTTTTCAATGATCGAATTTGTAATGCCATGCGTTCCTGAGCAGTGTGAATTTTCAAACGACTTATGTGTTTCATAATGAGATCTGAGGAGACATCGATTGTACTCCGTGTCCTATCTGAAAGTGAGCGAAAGCCAGTGACCTGTTCGGACTCAGCGCTAAGGTGTTTTGCAACGAAAGCACTAAACCACTCCGTCTTGTCAGTGTCATCAATGAGGATGGCATCGTTGTAATTTGGTAGGTGTTCTTCTTTCTATTACGGTTCAGTTCAGTTCAGTTTATTGAGGGAAATAGGCTTAAGTCTTTGAGTATTCTATTTGCAACGTTAAAAATGTGTGGTGTACAGATAGATGTTCTGGGCTGAAATAGTTCGAACACGCCCATAATGGTGAAACAAAATGAGAAGGAGTTACAGTTGGTGAGCTCGACTTCTCATCGCTCTTGGTCATTTCGGAACTTAAATATGTCCAGATTCTTCTTTAAACGTTGTATAGATGGTGATATCACAACATCTGCGGAAAGTTCATTCCATGGTTTGACCACCCGAACCGAGAAGGAGAACTTCCGCACATCCAGCCGTGCCTGCTGAGTGCGCAGTTTTCACGGGTGACCTCGGAGGTTGGTCGTGGTAGCAAATTCAAAAAGTCTTCGAAGGGCAGACTGCAATCCAACCCCTTTACAATGCGGAAGGCTTGCAGGAGATCTCCGCGAAGTTGCCTGTAACTCAAAGGAAAGAGGTTCAGATTTGCTAGGCGGGTGGCATAAGGAAAGGAGCTTTGAACCCTAACCATCTTCGTGGCTCTCCTCTGGACTCTTTCGAGGCAGTTTTGATCCACAACAGCCCACGGCCTCCAAGCTTAAATGCCGTACTCTAAATGCGGCCGGACGAATGTTCCGAATGTCTTAGAGAAAGCTTCTTCGTCAAAGTCCATAAACGCACGCTTGATGGCGTACAGTACTGACATTGTGCTTTTTGCCACCCTCGAACATTGGGCGGATGGTTTTAGGGAACTCGTCGTAAGCACACCGAGGTCCCTTTGGGCTTCGACCTCTTGTAGGGCTGCACCGCCCAGAAAGTAGCCTCTTGTGCTGGCGGATCTGGCTGTGTTGTCTAGGCGAAGTATGCTACATTTGGCAATGTTGAACCACAGGAACCAACGGTTTGACCACTCCACCAACCGATCCGGGTTCATCTGTAGTCTGTCTTCATCGGCAGGACCCCGAATTACACTCCATATCTTCATGTCATGCTTTGATGGGACCCCGACGGGTCTTTAATAAAAATTATCTATCTATCCGCAAACATTGCTACTTCACAGTCTAAATCTCTTGCGGCATCGTCCACGTAGATAAGGAACAAAATGGGTCCGAGGACTGAACTCTGGGGGACACCACTCTCGACCATAGCCGGATCTGATTTTCCCCGACCGATGCACACAACCTGGTGTCGACCCACAAGGTAGTCTTCGATCCATTTAAGGAAGTTGCCACCGATCCCTATTTTATTCAGCTTATGTAAGAGCCTTTGGTGTGGCACAGTGTCGAAAGCCTTCTGGAAGTCGACGAAGGCTATGTGGACCGCGTGCCTGTCGTCGAGAGCTCGGGTCCAGCTCTGGAGAGATTACAGCAGGTTTGTCGTGCAGGATCTTCATTTTCGGAACCCATGTTGGCATTTCGATAGCAGGCCGTGAACTTCCAGGAATTGCATCAGTTTAGTCTTTATGATCCTTTCCATAACTTTGCAGAGAATGCATGTCAAGCTTATGGGCCGGTAATTTGTCGTCGCTGCCCTGTTACCTCCTTTGTGTAGCGGAGTAATTTGCGCCAGCTTCCAATCGACAGAAAGTGTTCCAGTGTCAAATGACGTTTGAAAGAGCATCGACAAAGGCACAGAGAGCTCACTGGCAAGTTTCTTCAGAAGCTTGGGTGGAATCTCGTCTGGTCCTGGCGACTTCGATTCCTTCAATGCCTTTAATTCTCTTCGGGCAAAGCCTTCTGAGAAGAGTATATCACTGAATCTTGGGGTCGGCAGTTCTTCTGTGGAGGGAGGAAGGAACCTTGCCTCATTTGTGTAGACTGATTGGCAAAACCGTGAAAAATACGTAGCTTTATCCCTACTATCAGCGATCTCAACGCCATCAGTAGTCTTTATTAAGGGGATTTGATGCCTGTTCCTTGTAGTTCGTCGGAGATAGCTGTAGATAAATTTTGGGTTCCGCGTTGCTTTTTGTAGCAAGTTCTTCTCGGATTCCCGCCGCGTCTGCATTATCAGCTTCCTCAGTTTTTTCCTCTGTGTCTTGTAGGTGTTGAAGCATTCAGCTTGTCTAGTGACGCAGTATTTTCTCCACAATTTTTGCTTCCTGTTGATTTCTTTCTTGAGGTTGTTTTTTAACTGCCGAAAGTCTTTGGCTAAAGCAGGCTAGGCGGATTTTGTGGTATAGGAATTTTTTGTTAACTCGTGGCACTTCGTGATTTTGCACGTCTACAAATACTCCATGAACACGTATATTTTGTCGTTAGACTGGAACCCATCTCTTCTTAAATCATCCCTTATGGAAGCGGCTGACCTATTTTACTCTGTCCTGATTATAACTCTAGATGCCTTAATAGACGATGGACGCCCGTATAAGAAACCGCTGATCACAAAATTCATTTTAACTGAAGTAAAAAATTAAAAAAACAGCTACCCAACCCCTCTGTAAGCTATTTATCCAGACTCCGACGAATTAGGGAAAGTTACGTTCTAGTTACGAAATTGAAACACAAAAGACCATAGCAACAGAACATCGGGCATTAGAATCCTTTGGATGAACAGCTCGGACTTCAGAAACAAATGAATAATCGTTGACAGTCAGGACCACGAACCATGATTGATTAATTAGGACATGTTATTACAAATGGCAACCAAACAGCAAACGCATTCAATAAATACTTCTCAGCTAGCTACACAGTCGAGCAGGAAGCAACCCCTCAACTGACAGAAGGGATAGAACGCATTATTATTGAGATCCGTTTTAATGAATAAACTGCTAAAGTAGCCATCAAGCAAACTGAGAGAACCAATCGAGAGTCCGCCCATGAGGAGGAAGTCGAGAAGAAGCCAGAACAGGATTAATTAGTACGTGTTGATATATTTTTAAATAAACATTTCCATCGTCAACCTATTCTAACTGCATACGCTTGCACTTGACTTCATATATTTGTATGCAGTCGAAATGGATGAGTTTGGTCTAGGTTTTTTCCTGAAATCCCAGGAGACTGACAGAGCCCAAGAGGTGCTCTACTAAACCCATTCTATTCTAGTGTATGAGAATCATGGCATCAAGTAAATATCCAGTCAACAGGCATCAATTTGCCAAATTATTTTAAAGGTCTCAAAGGCCCCCGTCAGGAGAACGGAGTTCGGAAAATCGACCCATCCTTCAACCAGTCGGTGGGAGAAGAATTTTCCATGCCTTTTGTCCGAGTTATTATGCAGAAATATTTGCGTATGACATATACGAACTTCTTACGACGCAGAGATCCTAAGGAAAAATAATGCAGATTTTTTGTCATGCAGTAGTAGCTGGCTGCCTAAAATGCACAAATCTCGGTCATTCTTGCCAGTTTAAACTCTTAATAGGAAATATACTGAATCCAGAGACCGAAGCTATCACCCAAGCAGCATTCCGTGCAACTGCGACTAAGTGAATAGCGGAAGCCATTGTGACACGTGCAAGTGTTTGAAAATCGTGTCACAACACTTTATGCATTCACATATCAACTACTTGCCTCGTACCGTGCACAAACCATCCTGAAACAGTTCCAATGACTCTCTCACTGACGTAAACAAACACAATTAACAAAAGCAACTGCAAACGTTAACGGGTGTTGGAGACACTAAATAAAGTCGTTAAGCCCCGCACCAAGTGCATGCACATGAATGTCATAAGAAAAAGTGCGGGAAGTCTATAATAAATGTACAGTAACGTTGGTAAGCAAGTCAGCACTTCCGAGGAAGAGACTAATGCAATTAGTAAGTTTATCAAGTATACAAATGACACATCTGGAGTATGAATGTTTCCGCAATGCCTACTAGGCCTGCGGCACCAAGGCAGTTCCTTACTATTAAGGATGATGACGAGGGGTTATAACAGGATGTTTGCAATTGCGGAGGAAGGGAAAGAAGCCTAATCTCTAAAGCGACAAAGGAGCCAGTTGAAACAATCTCCCCTCACCTCGACAAAACATTTCCACGTTTTAGTCTTGTTTATCCTCGCATATGATGGTTTGCTTCTTCCTCTGCTAACTTTCCTTCTGTTGATCGTATGTACTTTACACCACTTAGATCTCCAACCTCGATTGCTCTGGACAGCTCGTTCCAAGCCAGAAGGTATTCCAAGTGATTTATGTTACTCTGCGTGTATAATTCCCAAAGCCTTCAGCGTTACAATAGAATTGTAAAAGGTATTAAGACAAGAAATGTACAAAAGAATTGAATTTAAACGGAGCATATTGATATTTTATTTTACTAGACTGAAGCACCGACAAAAAAGACAAAAGTAAGCCTCTGAGCTGTGTGCACGCGTTAAGTCCGCCTGTGGAGGCGTGGGGTCAGTTTTCAAGTACAAGAAAAGGTCGCCGTTTGGCGATTTCGATTTTAGCGTAAGTGCCAACCGCTCACGCTAATCTACGCTTCATAAATGATTTTGATGAGGCTATCTTCTTTTATCCTCTCTATGCTTCCCTTCCGAATGACAGACAAGAAGGCGGGGAAACCAATGAAATTACGAGGAGTTGAATATCGAAAAAACGCTATTGGAGTATATCGACTCGATATACTCTTGCTACTAGGCTAGTCTCTCCTGTCCCTTATTTTATCATACAAGTCTCCATTGTTTGGCGAGTTTACGATACGAGGCAGTAATTCAAGCGGACTTATGAATGGATCGTCCTTAGCATAATACGGGGCAAAACACCGTTACAATGTTTGCATAATTCCAGCCTATCCGTGGGATAATGCTGGCACAGCAGGCGCTTTACCTGCAACGTCGGGTCTGGTCTTTCCCTCGTATACAACACAGCTGGATATTACGTAAACCACACTATCATTCTTGTGCGCCAGCGCTCATTTGGGAGTAGAACCAGTCTGGTGGACATATTTTAGCTCGTTCTTGTCAATTAACGACGGTGTCGCTGGTCACCTTGGATGCCGTTTGCACCGCGCATACAAAATCGGCCGTCATTTGGCCACCTGCGAAAAGTGTCCGAAACAATTGTGCGGTTAAGTGTACTATGGAGACTTGCCTTCAATCACTTTGTATGCAAGTGTTGCAGATATTCCGCTTTCCCTTCCCTCCCGCAAAGTTGGACTGACCCGCCAAACCCCTGTCCGATACAGAAGTTACCATTCCCTTCACAGCATTAACGACACGTCCGCCGTTGAGATGGTACCCAAAAAGTACGACAACAAGAAAATTTGCGATTTCCGTCCGCTGGCGGGCATTCTTTTAATGAGGGGATTCCCTGTTATACATTTCGGAGGTGAATTTAGTAACCTGTTTAGAACTCCATGGACATTTTCTTCGACGACGATGTGCCACCTGCCTATGTCTTCTAGGATATCTGTTAGTATTCTGCACCATCTGTGAACCTAGCAAGGACTTTCCTGGGAGGCTAAATAGTGAGAAAGTCGTCCCTCTCAGTAGTGTTGGTGGCGACGGTGGTAGTCGTGCTGGTGGGAGCGTGATGGCTCAGCTGTTATGTGATGCTGCATTCAGGATGACGTCCACTTTTAGTGGGACTTCTTGACTAAAAAGATAATAAGCATACTACGGTCTTGCTGCGAACCTCCTACCTAGGAAGCGCCAGGACACTTGTCCCGGAAGGCCTATCCGTGACGGCCAGGACAGCCCATCTTGCCGATCATGTTCCATGCGCAAAACACCATAGAGAACTTCATGCGGTTGCCAGACTGTCCATTCAACATGCCTACTTCTGCTATCATTTTTGTGCTTTTGAGCACTTACTGGGAACGGAGAATTTCGCCTGCTCTAGTACTTTATTAGTAGTAAGAAGAATTTATCCAAACAGTCGAGAAACTGCATTCTCCTTGAAACATACTTTTATTTTGGGTGCAGTTACTGATATATTGGGTTTCGGAGTCTAAAATCAAGGTCACCATGTCAGCGTTTTTTTAAAGATAGCCGTTAAACCTACTGCTGGATCACAGATTTTCCTCATAGTAGTGTTATGCGAACAATCCAGACCGAGGTGAATATTATATGGTCGCCACTGATCGGTTACTCTTCCACCTTCAGTTTGCACTGAGCACTCGTTCAGGCAAATTAGTCATGACCTTGAACGGCTTACTACCTCGTAAAATTGGACGCGCTTTTGGTATGCCTTGGACGATGAAAATCCACCTTCTCTTGATTAGAGACCCGTCGGTCTCTACAACCATTCCGGAACCTATACAGTGACTTTGCTGCCGAATTGACAGAATAGGGATGAAGTTATTTCCCGAATAGATTTGCTTGCTGGATTTCCACAGCCCTTAGAAAGAGCCAGTAGAAAGCGCGCTATGTCCATTGTCGCCACAAATATTCTTACGCACTGGACATCTGTCCGGTCAGCCTTCCAGTAGTTTGCGAGTACTGCGCGCATGAAAAAAAAATGAGCGCTGCCTGAAGTCACTTCCTCGAATGACAGTTTACAATGTCAACGACAACATCGCGAGAAGATATCAGGCCGTCCAAGGAAGACGACTGAGATGGTTTGGCCACGTTCTTTGTTGCTCACCGCATGAGCTCACTGTTGCTGCCTTCCACCTGGAGATGAACCCGAAAGCTGGCTCGACACAGTTCGATAAGATATCAAAGTAGACTCACGACGTCTGGGCGCCGATTGCTAGGATGCCCCTAATCTTGGAATGCTGTCATTAAATGAACCACACATCGGACGGATGATGCTTATTCCAATTCGTATGGGGTTTATTGTAATCGCCAGACCGTACACATATTTTCCTTCCTAGAAAAAGTGTAAATAGCCGAGTAAGCCTCTGTAATACAAAAACCCGAAAACGCGCTAACCTCCGGCGGTCCTTCCTACCCCCTTCCTTATGACTATGTTCGGTTTCTATGAATCCGCGCTGGCAACGCTCACTTGAATTCCCGACTACTTTCCTGAAATGTTGTTTTGGCGGGCACATTGCTTCAATTCATAACCAAAATTTCTCATCTCTCACGACTTTCGAATTCTTACACATTTACGTATATCTGGAAGTGACTATCCTAGGTGCGTGTTCAAAGACAATGATGTTCAGATTGGAAAAGTTTAGAGATCCGGGAAGATTATTAGAAGAAGAAAATTGGCTCTCCGGAACAGGTTTATTTAACTGCTGACGTTTCAAAGAGCTGGGTCGGCTCTTCATTGTCAAAGCGTAAACTGCACCTAATCGATAAGAAATTTAATTTAAAGTGGCAAGCTGTGTTGGCCGGCCTCATGCTGATCGATTTTTCTCTCTCCTCACGCTGCGTCGGCCTCTCAGGAAATGGTTGACGGGCGTTTTTGCCTGTGCGCTTTATGAGTCACCACTCCGTCGAGGGGAGCTGATTGGACTTTAGTCGGGCGGTCGGTCTGGCGGTTCTTGTTCTTCCTCACCGAGTAAGCTCAGCGTCGGGCTATCTCCGTGCTGTCTTCTTAAGTCCGGTGTTGTTGTTTGGTCCTGAGCTCTACGGTTCTCCGATGCCCACTCTATCAACAGGCATCTGGACCTTCCTGCAGCTTACAAAATCCTACGTCATCACAACCGTAGAGCTCAGGACCAAACAACCACACCGAACTTAAGAAGACAGCACGGAGATAGCCCGACGCTGAGCTTACTCGGTGAGGAAGAACAAGAACCGCCAGACCGACCGCCCGACTAAAGTCCAATCAGCTCCCCTCGACGGAGTGGTGACTCATAAAGCGCACAGGCAAAAACGCCCGTCAACCATTTCCTGAGAGGCCGACGCAGCGTGAGGAGAGAGAAAAATCGATCAGCATGAGGCCGGCCAACACAGCTTGCCACTTTAAGTTAACTTTCTGATCGATTAGGTGCAGTTTACGCTTTGACAATGAAGAGCCGACCCAGCTCTTTGAAACGTCAGCAGTTAAATGAACCTGTTCCGGAGAGCCAATTTTCTTCTTCTAAGACAATGATGTTGCAGTGATTGCATCGTCCTTTACTATTTCTGTCAGCCATTCAAGCATTCAGATCCTAAAGCCACCAAGGCGCGCACCAGGTTGTGCGTATGTGTGTGTATGTGCACGCACAGGCGTCTTGACACTGTCTTGCTATCGGAGTGTGGTAAAGAGGGCTCGTTCCACCACAAACTCACGTGTAAGTCACTGTCGGTGAGCTCACCTTGCAGGGCAGCGACGGACGTTCTTGCTTGCGACGAGCTCGTGGCACAGTGATAAATCCTTGAGCTTTAACATGCACTCAGGGACCTAAGAATCCGAGTTTGAATCTACAGGCTGGTTGATGACGGTTTAGAAGTGAAAAATGTCCGTGTTAGTGCTTTTTGTATCTGTGTGTATTCTCCCCCATAGTCCTCTCCGACATGCCGGGAAGTAGTACTGCCAAGATTTTTAGTTTTTTAATTAATTTATTCGCAAGTTTGAGCCAGACGCTCTGGGATAAACCTTTTCGGGCCCGATCCGAAAGTTGATGTGAATATATGAGTTGAAATACTTCATCCTCGAGGAAATAACCTCTCAATACTCACAAGCTCCCCGCGGCAGTAAGTTGTGTAGAAGGGCCGGATAATTTGTCATACGGTTTGACCTGAAAATTGGACAGCCCGACGCTACACGACTAGTTAAAAACTGCCACAGAATACAGGACGATCGAGCTCAGTCGCCAGTTTCAACTTTCTATATGCTGAAGTTTTCGACGGACATCCGTAAGCACTCGAATTAAAACTAGAAGAGGGGAGAGTACGCCACGTTTTGGAAAGTGTTCGCTGCGAGGGATCCACACCGGCTTGTTCGGGTGTCTTCCAGTCTCTCTACTCTTTCAAGATTTCCCCCACTGATACAGTTTTCTATATTTTTTAAGCAATTAGAGAACACTCTGCCCCGCTTTTTATTGACAGAGATTGTAAATCTCGCTTTTTTCAGAACCGCATCCTTCATGGGTGACTTTGAGCCCTCCGAATTAGGTACTAAGGCTCAGTAAGCAGTATCCACCATCCTCTTTCTTCTAACCTACATCTCAAAGCTGGGATAGCCACTACGAAAGGGAATTGCAGAACTTTGACGAAGCTAGTGACATTGGAGATATCTGGTAAGTCCAATGGCCACATTCTATCCCCAAAAGGTTTGGCCAGCAAAGCGAGAAACGTGTGCTCAAATACCTGTCTGATGTCGGCATTCCGTCTGAATCGCGAATCCTCGACGTTGGGAGTGGAAACGGTCACTTGGCCATCGAATTGGTACACTAAACTCATCAGCCTC